AGAGGAGGCTGCTACAGGGCCCCTTTATATTGCTGCAAGTCATTAATATGCAGACCTAATGAGACTCGAGAAGAGCCAAGAGTCTCCGGAGCTCCCTGCTTCTTGCAGGGCTTCATGCTAAGTGAACAGAGTGTCTATTTTGTGTCTGGGAACCTGACAACAAACCAGGTCTTGCCAGAAGTTTACATCTGAACACAGAGCCTCTTTCATTTTTGGCCTATATATGGCGTATGATTTATTGTTGTTTTAAAAAGCCATGTATTTAGCCTCCCCCCACCCTTTCTTTTGCACTGTTTCTGATGCAGCAATCAGTGCTACTGAGTTATAAAAAGCTCCCTCTCCTCCTGCCCTCCCTGCATTCCATTTTTTTGTCTTTTACGCATTTTACTGCAGCAGTCATCTCAATGAACATTTCAATCAGCTTAGTCCCTCAACATAATGAACCATAATAACCAAACAGGAGAGAAAAGAATAAACATCTGCAGAAGGGGCTGGATTGACTGATGGTGGGAATATAATCATATAGTTGCACATCAACTGAAAGCTATTTTCTTTTAGATGCTTTCAGTGCTGTTATTGTTGTGCCTCTGCTCTTTATTCTTTCTCTCCATTTAAAAAGTAGTCTATCTTAGACAGGAACACTGAAACTACTGTCAAGCTTAGCATTCATCCTTAGCTGGGTAAATTCTTAATTTTCATAATTTCTATTTTATCAAATTAGGGGAAAAAAATTGTTCTATACTTTCAAAATAATTTCAAATAATTTAAGAGTCTGTTGTGGTTTATCAACTTCTGTGTCTTCAATGGTGATTATAGATGAAGTAAAGAAAGCTGACAATTAGGTTTGGTCTACTCACAAGTAACAGTTTGAACTGAAACCTCAAATACACAGAACTTCCAATTTAATACATTGGTGCTGTGACTGAGAATAAATTATATGCACAATTTTTAAAATGCTAGCTCCAATAGATATTTAAATAAAAATACCTCTAGAAACTGTTTAAATCTTCTGCATACATATAATATTGTTCTCCTGTAAGTTTTGGGCTGAATCGTGCTGTCATGGTGCAAATAACATGCCCCTTGACCTCAGCGATGACAAGCTATTTTGATATAAAACCTACATGCTTGCTATTAGCTTTTTATGATTAATTTTATGGAAAAAAGGAGCATAAATCTTGTTTGATCTTGAATGGCTAGAGGAAATATCTGAGGGAATGCTTTCTCAGTTTTTCAGGCTTTCTGGTGCTCTGTAATAAGTTCTTTCTAAATTATTGAAGGAAAACACTGATTAAAAACACGGCAGAAGGTTGGGCTGGTTTTTTCAAGATGTTACCTGATACCATGCAGCATCAGATTTGTTTTCAAAAGCACTGCATTTGCACCCAAAAATACTTAGCAGATAATTCACATTGACAAATAAACCTCCCCTCCCTACCCATTTTAGTCAGCAGCATGTTCTGCTCACATCTTTTTACTGTTCTGTACGTGACTTCTGTTACTGTCACACAGTCCTGTGGCACACAAGTAGCTATTCTATAGTAGTCCATTGCTCACCAAGCTGACTGTCAGAAGTCATGATCAGTTAATAGTTGGAAAGAAAAACATGCAGGATGAAAATCTTTCTCTGTCTCATAGATATATCTTGCACAATTATTAAGGGAAAATTCTGAACTAAGCTGTTCTGTATACCATAATATACTATGTTTTGAAGGGAGACTCTAGTTCACCTTTCCACAAGGTGTATTTTCTTAATAGTGATTTAATAATGATTTCAAAAGGGCTGGAGGGTATGTAAGGGACTCATATTGTTCCCATCAAAGTACCACCTGAATGTCTCGTAACTGTCCACATTTTTCTCTACCTTAATGTCCATGAAGTACAAAAGTACCGTTATTTGCATTTAGTAGGAATAGGAAGTAGTGGGATACTCAAGAGCCTACTTTTCATGGATTGAGTGATCATTTCATTGACTGGGATAGAAATCTGAGCTTTTGGGAAAAAAACTTTCCAAAGGTGAAGAAGTGCAAGAAGTTTTTGGCCAAGAGAGGAAGGATTTCTCAAAGCCCAAGTGCGTGTTTTCATTACTTGTATTCTCCTTTGTCTGAAAATGGTTGAGACAAAATCTGCTATTTGTTACAGAACAAATGCAAGAAATTCAACACTGCTACATGTTACTAACACAGTGTATTTCAATCAGGATCTGCAGGAGTAATTTCTAAGCATGAGGTTAGTTTATTTCCCATGGTTGATTAAATTCTTGGCTTCCCTTGTGAAATTGCCAACTTGGGTGCCAATTAATACTCTGCATGTGTGTATGTTTAAATTGTATGATTAGACACCTGTCCTGTAAGATTTGGACTCATGCCATCAGCTTGTTTCATATGGTTACTCACTAGCTATTCAGCTGTCTCAAGAGAACACAAAGAGTTCTTCACAGTATATACCTTTTTTCATTTTTTTCACTGAATTGGCATGTTCTCAGATGCACTTCAGGAAGGAATATCCAACATGAAAAGCTAAGTAAATGTTCTGACATGTATGTACTATGAAATGCATCAGCTTTTTTTGATAATCTCCTCTGTGCTCTACTGGACAGTAGCATTGGTGACTGTGTGAGATTTAAAATTAGGCTTCCACTAGTGGACCTTGTGAAGGGAACTGATAGGGGTGTAATACAGAGGCACAGAGTGAAACGTTGCCTCACAGCGTTTTGGTACAGTTTAGGTAAACTCCAAGAGGGTTAGTATGCATTATTGCAGAAGAGCTATGATACTTCAGTGTTCATAAGGAGAAGAATTTGAAAAGTCAGAAGAAGAATTGTGATGATAAAGAGACAAAGAAAACCAAGATGCCTTCTGAGCCTATGCAGAGTAACAGCTAAATCCTTTTTGGAAGATCACTTGGACTAAGAGTGTCTTCGATAAAGTGAGAGTGAACATGAAAATGGCTTAGAAAACTGCTTTGGCTCAAGCTGTGAGCAGTTTCTTTTTCTTTTTCTCTCTTCTTTCCTTGGGCTGCATGCTTAATAATGTTCACATCTCAATGGTCCAGATAGGCTTTGAAGTTGAGATTTGGAAGAGCTGAATATTGAAGATGTTTGAGTCTTTATTCATGTTCTTATGCAGATGAAGTAAGTTTTATCCAAGGCAGCACACCAATTACTTAGCAAGAAAGAATGATAATAACTATGTTCCATAAGTCAAATTCTTCAGTAGATGAAGTCTTTTACAAAGGAGTTTAACTTAATTATCCTTATTTACTGACACAAAACATGAATCATAGGGAAGTGAGTAACTTGCTCAAGGATAATTTAACCAAACGGATAGTAGTTCTGCTAATGGAGATCTAAAAAGGAGGCCTGGTTCCCTACATCACACCTATCTCACATCTAACTAGCTTTTTGAAGAAAAGATACCACATCAGAAACAGAAAATGTAATTTAATTCCAAGTAAAAGCCAAAGCTATGAAAAAATAGCACCTTTTGGGGAAAAAAAAACCCTCTCAATAACAGTACTACAAAAATACTTTGTCAACATTTAGTTTGTATTTTTGCTCTTTTTTACATCATTCACACGGTGATACATATGAACATGTTCACTCATTGCTCTAAATGTTTAGTGTATGGCTTTTTTTCCTTAATTAAATTAAGAAAGAACGAATTATTTAGAAATGGTTATAGGCTTAATTTTTACTTTAATTTAAGCTGTCTTTCAAGCCAATTAGAATTCCTGTACGTAGATTTTATTTTCTCCTTTTGAAATATGAAAATGAAACAATTTGGGAATATGCTTTAGAAATGTAACACTACCAAGTATCTGATTTCAAGCACCTGAAGTTTAGGAAATTCAGATGCAGATATCAAACTTATTTTTTAACTCTTTTCCTAGTTTTTATTTGTTTGTTTCTGTTGAGGTAGGGATTGGGGACTTGTTTTTCTTCAAAATCTGTGAAGATAAGGTTTTGTGAGTGCTGATATTGCCCACTGGCCTATCTTGAACAAATAGGAATGAACTAGTGGCCTTTGCCATGAGCTTTTAAATGTATGCTGTATTTAGAATAGTGCCATACATATAATTTTTCAGCACTTCAGTGCACTATACTATCTCTTTGCATCTGTGAAGGACATTTGAATTCATAGTTCAGAGTCACCTTTAAAATCTCAGTTTATCTGCATGCGAGGTCTAATTCGGTAACTAAATGAAAAATATAAAGCATTTTTCTCTAATGTGGACTTGCAATTATGATGGATAGTTTAGTTCTGAAGGACCACATATATAACCAGATTTATGAGGGAGATGAGATGGAAGTGTTATACCTCTGAGCATTTCTTTTTGTTATAAATCAAGAATATGATTCTTGATGTATGAAGGAGTTCTGTGCCAAACATCTTACTCCATTTACAGTGATATATCCTTCCTCCTTGGAATATAGCAAATAGCCATTCCCTGCCCTGGTTTTAATGCTTCTGAAGTAGAAACGGAGAATTATATACCATGACCCCAGAGGAAAAAGGTGGAGGAAGAATAGCTAGAATTCATATCGTAGTCAATCTAAATATACATAGGTACCCAGGGATTTCAGAATCAGACTGCTAATTCAGATTTATTTTTTTTCAAACTACCAAACCAAGAGCTTGGTTCTGCACCCATTCAACTTTTCGGGAATGTTGTGACTGATTTAAGTAGGAACAATACCCAGCCCAGGCCTTGCTGAAATTTCATTCCTATCATAAACAAGCATTTACATTCCAATTGTGTGTTTCAGCAGCATGTATTCAACTTCAGATGTATGTAATTATTTTTTTTTCTTTTACAAGGTCTCATCTTCAAGGGGAGAAAAGTTTGTCACACAAGCTTATATTTTATATCCCTTCCATTCATTAATTTGTTTATTCAAAATAATGATTTATAGTGACTATAACTTCTCTTTTATAATAAGCTGTTACATAATACTATTCAGTGCACTGCAGTAGACAAGCAGGATTCAGAAACTAAAAAATAAGATTTTGATAGAGACATTTTGCATTTTAGCAGCTGTTAAGAAAACAAAATAATAAAATGGAGGGTAATTTTCCAGGGGAAATAAAAGTCCTTAAAGGGAAATAAAGGATTTGTCTTTGAATATATAGCTTAAAACCAATGTTATTATAATATCTTCCTCCCACTAACAAAATAATAGAATTTAATATTTATCTGTAAGTTTTTCTTTCTCCTGCTGTCTTTTAGGAAACTTTGGGTGAATATGGTCACTGATACACTGTTAGCAAAATGTAACTAATCATTTTCCTATCAAAAGTGGGTTTATTTGTTTAGGTGTAACTTTGCTAGAAACTCTTAGAAATGAAATAACCATTTTGTATTGTTTCTTAAATCTTTTGAATGGCAAAAGGTTAGATTCTTAACATCTTTTCTTGCATAAGAGATCATTTTGTGCAGATATTTCAATACATAAGATGCACATGGTTTTGTAGACATTGTTATATATTACTTATTTCTGGGAAGCCTGCATCTGAATCTTTCTTTTCAGTCTTTGATAGCCAGTACCACTATAAGATTTAGAACTATATTCTTTGTATGCCTTGCCTGATGATCTTAATCTGATTCTTCAGTGATATTGCAGTTCACGTTTGTGTTCTTCAGCAGCTCACTGATGAGTAATTTCTTTTCAGACTTCTGCATGCCAATTAGCAATGCAAGGTTCTGATCAGAACTGGACCTAATATTGTATATGACTTCATTTAATATTAAAAAGTCATCATAAAGTGAGATTAATCTGAGGTCAAAAGTTTTTTTCCTTATGAAAAAAGGAAATAATTTTTCGGGCCTTTAGTACTCAGTCACTGGCTGATAGTTCAGAAAGATCCTTGCTTGCTGAAGAGTTGGGGTTTTTTGGTAATATGAGAGAGAGCACATAAATATTATTAATAAAGTAAAATTATGGTTCAAAACAGTGGTAGAATTCTTAATACTAATCCTTACATTGGAGATCAAGCTAATCCAGTTCTTTACTGTGTTGGCTGGTGAATGAGCTACATTACAGGAATCTTATTACAGCTGTTCAAATTTTTTTCCTAATTCTCTTGCAAGTAGTGTCATTTTTTTGTAATTCTAATGCAATGCTTGTAAATGCAGTGTTTATAACAGATTTAGTTCAGTCTTGACATACACCTAAGACACTCAGTTGTCTTTATAAATACAAGAAAAATATATTTCTTTACTGTTCTGCTTTTCTGTACGATGTTGAACATCAACTTGGAGATGCTGGTATTTGTTTACTGTATGCTTATAATTTCTTACACCATTTCTCTCAAAACAAGTATAATACAACAGCTTGGTGACTCATAGTCAAGAAATATTCTTTTGGAAGGCAGATCTGAAAGTAGTCAATATAAGCATAGCTTGTAATTTGAAATCTTAATAGCATTAAAGGATTTGTAAGCAAACAGTTACGTGTTGGCAGGGACAAGTGTTTGCTTATATAGGAATAGCATTAACAATTTTGTCAATAGTATCCACAGCCATGTCACATTGGACTACAGCTACCTTTGTATTGCTAATTACAGTAATTTATTACAGGACTTTGTCCCATTACTTGGATGACTCGATGGTAATAAGGACTGCTGCAGTAGCAATGAAAACTAGCTCTGAAAGAATAGTGTAACAATTGATTAAATAAGCCATCTTGATCACTTAAGAGCTGGATTCCTACTTTGTAAGATCTGCTTTTAATATCAGTAGGGTCTCTATCTGTATACACATGTATGCACAGATAGTTCCTTTATATAACTCATTAATATTCAATTTCATAAATGAAATCTGTGATTCTTCAATCAGGACATTTCATTTCTTTGGTTAGAGATACATTTATGTACAAACTATTCCTTCACATTCTTAAACAAGTATTTTCAACTGGTGAACCACAAGCATCAACCTATAAGTGGAACCGAACTTTATTTGAGTGGGTTCTAAACAGTGAGATCTGCAAGTGATTTTGTGAGACAGACCCACCAACACCCTTCTTCTTGTGATATTTTTGTGTGTGTGAGTGAGACGTTCTGGCATTTAGATATGCTTAGTAAGTGTTGTCTTTGACTTCTGAAGACTGGACAATCAGATTTTTTTGTGTTGGGATGAAGGTAGTGGAAGAAGCTCTTAAGACATTTCTCTTTCCACTTCTCTCTTTTCTTGGTATAATCTTTCTCATCTGTCAGCAGCTGTTTATGACGCTGAAGCTTATATCTGTAGTTTCTTTTTCTCTCATACTTGCAGGCATGGATCTGTTCTCCAATTGCACGGAGGAATGTAAAGCACTGGGCCACTCAGATCGGTGCTGGATGCCTTCCTTTGTTCCATCTGATGGACGCCAAGCTGCAGATTACCGCAGCAATCTGCATGTACCTGGCATGGACTCCGTTCCAGACACTGAAGTGTTTGAAACACCAGAAGCCCAACCTGGGGCAGAAAGGTCCTTCTCCACCTTTGGCAAAGAGAAGGCCCTTCACAACACTCTGGAGAGGAAGGAGTTGGATGGACTACTGTCTAATACACGAGCGCCTTACAAACCACCATATTTGAGTAAGTACTATTCAAAAAGCTGTATGAAAGTGTTCCCTTTGCGGGAATAAGAATTAGCTCTTTCTGCTATTCATAGTAGGAATAATACAGACACAATTTTAGGAGCAGTGGAGGAAAATGACTCCCCCTGGATTCAGGCACCACCAAAGAAGGCGTTATTTAATGCTTTTTAAAAAAGACAAAACCTTGATTATTTTTAGCATGACATGATTGTCCCCAACAAAAGTATCAGCGAATATCAGGGGGGTTGCTCCATTTTGTCTTCTAATGCTGGATTATTTTCTAAGTTTTCTTGGATAAATGGTTTAAACACTGACATTGCCAGACTAATATTTTTTAAGACTAAAATTAAGTCAAGAGAGCTGTCCTAGGAGTTTCTTTTTAGGATTGAGCAGTACCTTACAAATGCACAGTATGTGCATTATTTTGAGGTAACCTTTTACATAGTTAACATTAAGGGTCTGGAAGGAAGAAGAAAAAACATTTTGCCTTTGGTCTGATCACCTTTCAGCCTATGTAGTATTGGCTTTTATCATCACTCCTCCGTGCCTTCTGTCTTGTTCCAAAATCTTGCCTCTTTTTTCAGTCACCTTTTAATTATGGTTGGGTGGCATGAAAGAGACATATCTCATAAAGACATTCATAATTCCTTTTGGAGTCTGAGGCAGTTCTGGAACCCATGAGTAATACTGTGATCTAATATGTCTTTTCATTCCCTTTAGCAGCCCTCAGTATTTTATTACACTGTAATCTCGTCTTCAAGAGTTTATGATGTTTGTCTTATCCAAATAAGCCAAAGACATTAACATTGTAATACTGACCCTTTTTTAAGCAATGAAAGTATTTTAGGACAGCAAATCAAGTTTAAAAAAAAATAAATAATCTCACTGAATGGTATTAATTTACTTATTTTTATAAAGCATTTAATTGTTCTGAAAGGTGCTGCATTGGCAGTCCTGGCATGTGAAGATCTTTGCTACAGATCATTCTCAACACATACAGCTCAGTTTTCCCTTCTTAATTAGCTGTCTCAGTATTTCGGTCCCTCATAAAGATCTTTTTACCCCTTTACTCTTCATATTTGCTTTACTGAAAGCTTCTAAATTTGGATATCAATTCTGATCTGTGAAAGCCCTTCCTAAAAGACTTGTCCTGAGACCATCAGCTTATTTTGTGTAGGTCAAAATGTCAGGCATCAATCATCTGGTCATACTTTAAAGACCAATGTGAAATTTAAGTTACTTATGATCTAAAAACTCACAAGTCTGACTTTCTCTAACTGGTCTTCCATCTTAAAATCATAGAATAGTATTGTAGAATTGTTAAGGTTGGAAGAGACCTTAGCGATCATCAGATTCTAACCTTCCTGATATGGGCAGGGACACCTCATACTAGACCAGGCTGCACAAAGCCTCATCCAGCCTGGCCTTGAACACCTCCAGGGAGGGAGCTTCCACAACCTCCCCAGGCAACCTGTTCCAGTACCTTACTACCCTCGTGGTAGACCCTTTCATGAACTGAAACTCTCTTTCAGTTTTAATCCACTACTCCTTGTCCCAGTTTGACCTGTAAAAAGTCCCTCCCCAGCTTTCCTGTAGCCCCCTCAGGTACTGGAAGGCCGCTATAAGGTCTTCCCAGAGCCTTCTCTTCTCCAGGCTGAACAGCCCCAACTCTCTCAGCCTGTCTTCGTAGCAGAGGTGCTGCAGCTCTTTGATCATCTTTGTGGCCCTTCTCTGGACCCTCTCATTTGCCTATAAGAAACAGTCTTCAAGTACTAAACTGTAATCTAGCAATACAAATTGCATCTCTATCACTTCAGTTAAAAATTTGAGTTGTGTAGCATTGATGGTCTAATCACAGCAGAGTTCTTGCAGAGATGCAGTGTGTGCATTACAGTGATAATTACAGCTGATGACACCACAATGGTAGTTTTGTTTTATTTGTTTTTTTCTAGGACTGCAAGTTTTGTTTTGAATAACAATGAAATATTTATTTTATTGACAGTTTAGGGATTTAAAATGTTGTTCAGCTAAAATAAGTAGCATTGCTGAATAATGTGTTTACATATAGACATCAGTCTACATTGTACACTTTTCTGGTATAAGAGCATTAAAAATGGAGGTAAACTGTGAGAAGTAAACAACTATTAAGTAATCCATGCTTGAGAATCCACATTTAGTTTTGCTTTATTTCTTTGAACCTCAAAGCTAAAACTGCTAAAAAACAAGAGTAATATTTCTTCAGCTTACTTTCCTTTATTTTTGTATTTCCTTTAGTGAAATTTTAGATTATAAATGTATAGCAAATAACAGGAGCAAAGAAAGAAAAATAAACACAATAGTTGTAGCAACGTGTAAATAATTAATTATTAATAATGCATTCAATGGATAAGGCGAGAAGATTTCCTAAGAAGTTGATTCAGGAAGGAAATTTAGTTGAGCCACTGGGTAATTGCAATTGTAATAAAATTAAATTCAGCTTCTTAACAAAGAAGATAGTATCAAAGTAAGTTTGTCATTAGAATGATTTTTTTAAAAGAAGTGATTAAAATGTATGAAACAGAACCCTTATGTTCAGCAAAAATACTGTATAAAAACTTGTAGCATGTATGAAAAGACCATATGAAAAATCAGTAGCAAAGAATAAAAACTACACTGCAGAATAGAAAAACTGAAAAACTCTCTTTAAAAAAGAGAGATTCTTAAGCAAAATTATAAGAAAAGAGCATAAATTCTAGCAGGCAAACTTTAGGATTGTAATTAATGGACATAAGAGGGTCTTTGTATAGCAAATAGCCAAAGGCATACAAATAAATACAGACAATTTTTAAGATGTCAAGTGTAGCATGGTAAGAGTGGATTGGTGGGTCTTTTGAGATGCACTGCTGGAAAGCAGCTCTGAGGAGAAGGATCTTGGAGTCCTGGTAAACAATAAGATAACAATGAGCCAGCATTGTGCCCTTGTGGCCAAGAAGGCAAATGGTACCTTGTGATGCATTAGGAAGAGAGTGGCCAGTAGGTCGAGGGAGGTCATCTTCCCCCTTTATTCTTCCCTAGTGAGGCCACATCTGGAATGCTATGTTCAGTTCTGGGCTCCCCAATTCAAGAGAGACAGGGAACTGCTGGAGAGAGTTCAGCAGAGGGCAACAAAGATGACTGGGGGACGGGAACATCTCTTTTATGAGGAAAGTCTGAGAGACCTGGGAGTCTTCAGCCTGGAGAAGGCTGACGGGAGACCTTATTAATGTCTATAAATATCTAAAGGGTAAATGTAAGGAGGATGGAGTCAGGCTCTTTTCAGTAGTGCCCAGCAATAGGACAAGAGGCAACGAGCATAAACTGAACAGAGGAAGTTCCATCTGAACATGAGGGAAAACTTCTTCACTATGATGGTGACAAGACACTGACACAGGCTTCCCAGGAGGGTTGTGGAGTCCCCTTCTCTGGAGACATTCAAGACCTGCCTGGATGTAGTCCTGAATAATGTGCTCTGGGTGATCCTGTATTATCAGGGGAGTTGGACTAGATGATCTCTAGAGGTCTCTTCTGACTCGATGATTCTGCGTGTGTCTGAGTGTGTGTATTTACCAGAGGGGGGATGGAGGGAACAAGACGGGCATGTTTAGGGAGCCATCCATCCCAGGTAAACATTTCAAATATGCGTGCAAGACTCAGTCATAGAAGAGGTTATTCTTGACAAGTTGTCTACAACAGGAAGAATTATGGATTACGTGCAGCTTTAATTTTTAGTTTCTAACAAAACTATAGAATGTCAGAAGTTGTGTTAAAAAAGGTACTAGAAAATCTTGTCACTTAGAAACCATTGAGAAACCTTAGCATAAGAACACAAAATTGTAAGTTGGAGATCTTAAGAACAAGGTAGCTGGTATCTGTCCAGGAAAATAGCACAGAAAGATTGTCAACCTATTAGAATTTTGATAGAGTGTGTGAGAATTTATCAATGTAGTGCATTTGAACTGTCAAAATCAAACACTTTAGCATAGCTTCTGTGTAGTAGAAGAAGCTATTAAAGTGAGCAAGTGTTGTCATGGGCAAAGTATTACCAGACTCTCTGTGCCTAAGAGAAAAAAATAAGGATAAATGGAACAGGTTATCAGAAGCAGAGCACCCCAATTGTCTATGCAGAGATCTCTGGAATTTAAAAAAAAATAATAATCTAGAAATGGACATGACAAAAAGGGGCTGGTATTTGTAGGATGACATGAAATGGTTAAAGTCAATCAAGTCTGGTGGACTTTGTATGTCCACAGTGTGCTGTGAAGCATGGTCCAGAAAATCCAGATCTGCTTCTGATCTAGCTCACCCTGGAACTGAAAGCTGTAGAGCTGTGTCACATGGTGGAACAGCTGAGCAAACTGACTGGCTTTAGCTTTGTTGTTAGCACAGTGGCTACAGATGTTGAGTGGGAGCTCTGTGTGGAGCTTTCAGTGTGCCATATCAGTGTGCTTGCTCAAGTTTGTGTCTGCTTGGGGTTCCTGCCCTGTGTCCCTGTTGGTGCATTCAGTGCAGAACCCTGGAGAAGATAAATGAGGAAGGTGATGTGTATTGTCACGACAAATGTGAATTCTTCTTGAGAAAAAGGACCATGGAGTAATTCCCCGAAAAAGGTGCCCAAATGTACAAAGCCAGCAAGAAGGAAATAAAATGTCAGGCTGTAAAAAGTAATTTAATTGAAAATACTCTAAAAACAAACCCCTTAACACAAACCATATCACTATGTTGTTTTAGCCAATCCAGTCGCTCCATAGAAATACATAACAGAATGGCAAAAATACTGAAAATATTTCTATGCAAAGTCATATCAAAAGCTTTGTACTAATTAATTTAGACAAGCTGTGGTAGGGACATGAAGTAAACAGGAGACTGCATGAAAACAGAGAAGTTAAGCTGGACAATTTTGTTTTCTGTTGTCAGTAACAAGAGAGCAGCAAGGCAGCAAAACAATTGAAGGGCAACCAGGTCATGAACTGATAAGATCATACACATTTGATAAAATTATACACATTTGACACAAATAATGCAGTAATCTG